GAGTCAAATGCTTAACCGCTGAGTCACTCCACACGGCCCATGAATATCCTCTGTACCAGAAATACTGGGTTCACATTATTTCTTCATGGTATAGTCTCATTATCAAGGAGAATGACTGGGCCCAAGAGAGAACACTGTAATGACTCCTGATACGTATTTCCAAACTGCTTCCTAAAAAGACTGCACCTTTTTGAAACACCCTTGTGAACGACTATATGGGTCTTTTTAAAAAAATCTGCAAAGGATTTTGTTGACTTTATATATGCTAAGAAAATGTGTAAGAAGATATAATAACAAAGGGTCAGTGGTTTTCCCTGGGTAATAGAATTATGAGTGCTTTTCATCTCTGAATTTATTTGGTACTATATCAGATTTTCCACAACATGCATACTATTTCTGTAATTTAAAAAACCAGTAATGGGGTGCCTGGGTGGCTCAGCGGGTTAAAGCCTCTGCCTTCGGCTCAGGTCATGATCCCAGGGTTCTGGGATCAAGCCCCGCATCGGGCTCTCTGCTCAGCAGGGAGCCTGCTTCCTCCTCTCTCTCTGCCTGCCTCTCTGCCTACTTGTGATCTCTGTCAAATAAATAAATAAAATATTAAAAAAAAAAAAAACAACCCAGTAACTTCACAAAAGGATAAATATGGTAGGATTCTGCTTACATGAAATACCTAGACTAATTAAATTCATAGAGACAGAAAGCAGAACAGAGGTAATTACCAGAGGCTGGGGGAAGTCAGAATGGGAAGTTATTGTTTAATGGGCAAAGATTTTCAGTTTAGGATGAAAAAGTTCTGGAAATGGAGAGTAGTAATGTCTGCACAACAATGTGAATAAACTTAATGCTGATGAATTGGAACATTTTTAAAAAAGATTTTACTTATTTATGTGACAAGGAGAGATCACAAGTAGGCAGAGAGGCAGGCATATGGGGTAGGAGGAAGCAGGCTCCCTGCTGAGCAAAGAGCCCGATGCAGGGCTCGATCCCAGGACCCTGGGATCATGATCTGAGCTGAAGGCAAAGGTTTTAATTCACTGAGCCACCAGGCACCCCTTTAAGATTTTATTTTTAAGTAATCTCTGTACTCAATGTGGGGCTCAAACTCACAACCCCGAGATCACTCCACCAACTGGAGTTGCACACTCCACCAACTAAACCAGCCAGGTGCCCTCGAATGTACATTTAAGAATGGTCTGGAGCGCCTGGGCGGCTCAGTCAGTTAAGCAGCCAACTGTTGGTTTCAGCTCGGGTCAGAGTCTCCAGGTGGGGAGACTGAGCCCTGCTCTGGGCTCTGTGCTCAGTGGAGAGTAGACTTCAGGACTCTCTCTCGCCCTCTGCCCCTCCCCCCAGGCTCTCCCTCTAAAATAAATAAACCTCAGAAAAAAATGTTTAAAGGGGGGCGCCTGGCTGGCTCAGGGGGCAGAGCATGAGACTCTTAACCTTGTGGTTGTAAATTTGAACCCCACACTGGGTATGGAGATTACTTAAAAATTAAAAAAGAAAAGAAAAAAAAAAGGGTTAAAATGCTACATTTTATATTGTGTATATTTTGCCAAATTAAAAAAAATTAAACAATAAAAGTTATATTACTTATACAAATTATGAATGTTTATAATAGTGACAAAGTATCTACAACTTAAACACCCACCAACATAATGGTTAAGTAAATTACCAGCTATCCCACAGTGAGACAGGAAGCACCAGTGAGGCTATCTGTGTGTTTGCTGCAAACAGGCCCATGATATGCCGAAAAAAATAAGGCTATCATATATTAAGCATGATCTCATTTTGATATTTTTAAAAAGAGAAAAAAATATATGAATAAATAGTAAATAGAGGGGCGCCTGGGTGGCTCAGTGGGTTGACTGCCTTCGGCTCGGGTCATGATCTCAGGGTCCTGGGACTGAGTCCCGCATCGGGCTCTCTGCTCGGCGGGGAGCCTATTTTCCCCTCTCTCTCTGCCTGCCTCTTTGCCTACTTGTGATCTCTTTCTCTGTCAAATAAATAGATTAAATTAAATTAAAAAATCTTTAAAAAAAAAAAAAAGTAAAGAGAGAAGCCTCTGAGATAAACCCTGACACATCACCAGTGGCCATGTCTCAGCGGCAGGACTATGAATGATGCTGTTCTTTTAACACTTTCTGGAAATGGGCAACTGTTACTTTCTTTTTTCCTTTTTTTCTTTTTTAAGGTTTTATTTATTTGACACAGAGAGAGAGAGATTGACAGTGAGAGAAGGAACACAAGCAGGGGAAGTGGGAGAGGCAGACAGACTCCCACAGAGCAGGAAGACTGATGCGGGGCTCCATCCCAGGACCCTGGCATTATGACGTGAGCCGAAGGCAGACGCTCAACTGAGGCACCCAGGCGCTCCCAAACTGATACTTTCATAATCAGAAAAGCAATAAAACTTTCTGAAAGAGAAAAAATGACCTGACATAAAGGACAGTTTCTGAAAGCACAGAGAGATGAGAGGAAAGAAGGCTTGTGCACAGCTTTCCAGATTCAAGTGGGCACACCCTGCTCAGAGCTGGCCGCCGGCAATTCGTGAGAGGAGCTCAGCTGCCAGACGGCGGCTCATTTCCTCGCCAGCACCCCGGGCCCATCTCAGGCCTTATCTTCACCTATCTATCCACAGACACTCCACGAGGCCGCCAAACACCTCTTACTTACAGGGCAACAGAGCGGAAGTGCCTGAGCGCACGAGGGCCTGGACAATCTAAAGTGGTTTCTGCTGAGAGGCGGCAGAGAGAACACTCTGGAGAGAAAACCAGCCAGCAGCTAGTTAGGCTCCGGCTTTTTCCTTCTGGGGAGGCGAGGCCTGCAGTCCACGGGCAAGCCATTCTTCACTCAAGGTGCCCAAATTAGTTCACGAAACTGCATACTCACAGCCGGGCACCCGGCACCGGGCAAGCCTGTGGCCTAGCCCCGCCTCCCGCCGTGAAGCGCAGAGCAGACACCACTTGCTTCTCACACACGTTCTTCCTCCACCAACAGACGCATGTCTGGCTGTTAGCAGGAGACGGGGACCCTACTGCAGCCTGCAGCGTCTCAGCCCCTGACCACACAGTGCCAACTTAAAAAGTATACTGTGAATGGCTGCCTCTTTTTGGCTGATGGCTTGGCAGGTGGTTCAAGGCCCACTGCTGGGCCTATGCTGGTTGGGCTTTGGTAGGGTCTAAATGAGATTCCCCTGGGGTGCCTGGGTGGCTCAGTCATTGAGTGTCTGCCTTCTGCTCAGGTCATGATCTCAAGGTCCTGGGATGGAGCATCGCAGCGGGCTCCCTGCGCCTGCTTCTCCCTCTCCCACTCCCCCTGCTTATGTTCCCTCTCTCACTGTGTCTCTCTCTGTCAAATAAATAAATAAATAAATAAATAAATAAATAAGGTTCCCAGGCACAAGTAAAGTTAAATAGGGACTAGGAACAGAAGGGACCCTGATTTACTTCACTGTTGAAAAGAAACCAAGGCAGCAGTGTGGTAAGACCTGGGTGTGACCTCTATCACTATATACTATACATGTGTATGTGTATATACATAGTTGACTACATAATAAAACCTTGGGTAAGTGATAATATCTTTCTGAGCATCAGTGTCTTCATTTAACTAACGGGAAAACAGTTAACAATTTAATAATAATAATAATGCGTAATTAAAGGGATGAATTTGACAGTTAAATGTGGTGGTACAGGGGGTGCCTGCCTGGCTCAGTCAGTTAAGCATCTGCCTTATCCTCAGGTCATGATCTTGGGGTCCTGGGATCAAGCCCCACGTCGGGCTGCCTGCTCAGTAGGGACAGTAGGGAGTCCGCTTGTCCTCTGCCTCTGCCTCTTCCCTCCTCATGCTCTCAAATAATAAAGAAAATCTTTTTTTTTTTTTTTAATTTTACCCATTTATTTGGCAGAGAGACAGCCAGAGAGGAATACAAGCAGAGGTGTGGGAGTGGGAGAGGGAGAAGCAGGCTTCCACCGAGCAGGGAGCCCAATGCGGGGCTCGATCCCAGGACCCTGAGACCAGGACCTGAGCTGAAGGCAGACACTTAATTGCCTGCGTCCCCCAGGCGTCCCCTTCTCCAAGCTTTAACTTAACGCTTCCTCACCTGTAAAATGGGTTGCTGTGAAGGAGACCACGTCCAGAAGAGAACCACCACAATGCCCAGGACTAACTGTTGCTCAAAAAACTCAGTCCAGCTGCCATCACTAGCGCCTCCAGCTGGAGGCCTTCCAGACCCTCCTCCCAAAGACACTGAAAGAATGAGAGTGACAGGATCCCAGAACTGCCTGGAAATGGGTTCCTGACACAGTCACCATCTGGACCTCTCCTATTAAATCCTAAACCCGCCGAGTAGGAGAGCAAAAGACTGGCTGCCTAGGGCGAAGGCATCCCAGGATCCAAGGGCGTGGATGCCGGGAGCATGGATGCGCTTGCCGCTCATGGCAGAAACTGGTTAAGTGATCATGGAGGCCAATGGGGTCATATCTACCAACTGATAAAACCACAATCTTCTGACCCAGCCACTCCCTTTCCAGAGACGGATCCTGCAGCTGTACCTGCACACCTACAAAATGATACGCACAAGGCCCCGCACTATGGGGTCACAGAAGCCTGGCCACCACGGGACAGGTTCAATAAACCGCGGTGCTCCCGTGCTGAAACACCACAGAGCAGCAGGCACAGAGGAGGAATCTAGGTACTGATCCGGAAGCCGTCCTCAAAGATAATGCAAAGTGAAAAGAGAAAGGCAGAGAGGAGTGTACGTGGATTTCCCATTATCCTGAACTTTCAGGCATGTGAATATAAATGATCGATGACAGAAGATAACCTCTCCTCCGGTTTCACATATGGTGCTCTACCAGAGATCAACGCGGGGAGGCAGAATGCGGCGAAGCAGGCTCTCCTCGGGACTTTCGTTCTTAATAAGGGATCTGGCAAATTAAGGCAAACGCTGAAAACAGACATTTATCGACCCGGGCTAACCTGTGATAAACACCGAAACTAACCTGACGAAGTCCTCGGGAAGCAGGTCAGGACTAACACCCAGGGAGTCAAGCACGTCGTTGCGAATCTGGAGCAGCAACTCCGAATCTTCCCCAAAGGTAGCAGAACTAGGATCTCTCCCTTTATCTGTGCGGAACTTCAGGAGCACTAAGAAAGGCAAAGGAGGCAGGTTAAAAACCAAGTCTTTCTTTCTTTCTTTTTTTTTTTTTAAAGATTCTGTTTATTTGAGAGACAGAAAGAGAACAAGAGCAAGCGGGCGGGGGGGGGGAGAGCAGAGGGAGAGAGATGCAGGCTCCATGCCAAGTGTAGAGCCCAACGTGGGGCCCGATCCCCTGACCCTGAACTCATGACCCAAGCTGAAATCAAAGAGTCTGACACTCAGCCAACCAAGCCACCCACGCGCCCCAAAACCAAGTCTTCTCATTAACAAATGCTTACGGATATTGAGAACGTAAACACAGAAAGTGGTGCATTAATTAAAATGAGGGCCAACTGAAAGATAATCTTTCATTTATTCACAAACACAGAGCAACAATCAAAAATTACAAAACTGGGGCGCCTGGGTGGCTCAGTGGTTAAAGCCTCTGCCTTCGGCTCAGGTCATGATCCCAGGGTCCTGGGATGGAGCCTCACATCAGGCTCTCTGCTCGGCAGGGAGCCTGCCTCCTCCTCCTCTCTCTCTCTGCCTGCCTCTCTGCCTACTTGTGATCTGTCTGTCAAATAAATAAAAATCTTTATTAAAAAAAAAATTACAAAACTAACTAGAATTACTGTGACAAGTGCCACAATAGTGTAACAAAAGGATCTGATGTCCTCGGTGGGGTAGCGTCAGGCAAGAACTCCCAGAGGAAGTAGTAACTGGGTCGAGTATGTGTTAATATGGGGGCAGGGAAGTAGGAGAGACGCCTCAAGCAGAGGGAAAAGACCCAATTATGACCCACAAGACAGGTCAGGATCAGGAGGCATGCGTTCTAGGCATCAGTTCAAAGGGTTGCTTCAGCCAGAAGGTCAGCCAAATGCTCAGACTCATCAGACAGGCAGGTCATTACAAACAAAACCTCCCTTGGTACAATAATTATGTCAACCTCTAAAAACGAATGTTTAATTTTGCTTGTGAACCAGAGGAAAGGTTCAGATGATGGCAGCAAATCAGAGCTACTGTGTAATGAGAGCCTAACAGGGTTTGAATTTTTAACCCCAACAAAAAGACACAGGCAGGAGCCCAAGACTGATTAAAATACCAGCACCTTCTACTGCCACCACACCTTGTCCAAGATGTTCACTGCATGCTGGGGGCATGGTGTCCTTATTCCCTGCAAGCTCCCCAAGGTGGCACACAGCCGGCCTGGAGCCCCATCTCTAGGACAATGCCCCACCCCCCATGACACTGCCGCTTGGAGTGCGGGTGGACAGAGATGGGGCCTAGTGTTCTGGGACAGCAGATCAGGCCCCGAAGGGGCTTCCCAGTTTAAGAAGTGCTTCTTTTCAAGTCTTATCGAGAACTGCTGACTGGAAAAGTGAATTTGTTCAACAAATTATACTCTCTATCCGTACAAGGGGCTCTTCCCTAAAAATTAAGGTGGACTGGAAAATGATCTAACTGCTTCGAGCCTCTTTAAAAATTAAAGGATTTGGAAGCCACCTTGGACTAAGGAATCCATCCTTCTCCTTGTTTTCTTTTTCTTCTTTAAGATTTCATTTATTTATTTGACAGAGACACAGCGAGAGAGGGAACACAGGCAGAGGGAGTGGGAGAGGGAGAAGCAGGCTTCCTGCTGAGCAGGGAGCCCGATGCGAGGCTCGATCCCAGGACTCTGGGATCACGACCTGAGCCAAAGGCAGACGCTTAATGACTGAGTCCCCCAGGTGCCCCAATTTTCCTCTTCTTCAGAACACAGCTCCAGGGCACACGGGTGGCTCAGTCAGTTGAGTGTCCAACTCTTGATTTCAACTCGGGTCATGGGATCGAGACCATGTGGGGCTCTGCACTCAGTGTGGAGGCTGTCTGTCCCTCTCCCTCTGTTCCTCCCCATTCCCCGTGCTCTCTCTCTCAAATAACCACAATCTTTAAAAAAAGAAAGAAAGAAAAAAAAAAGACACAGCTCCTAGAATCTTCAAAGCTACTGAACCACTTGGCAGCCAACTCAGAGCTGATGACCATTTGGATGCTGGCTAAGACCAAACCGCTGTCACCTAAGCCTCACTTCTAATTCAGCAGACGTGTTGCTGGGATTCCAATCTGGAGGAAATAAATGCGATCGAGTAATAAGCATTTGGGGGCAGGGCAGAGAAAAAGACTTTAGACCAGGACTCTTTTTCAACAATGTTCTGTGAAGACAAAGGAATGTGGAAATCTGCTGGTCAGGCCCAAAAGAGAAGATACTCCAGGCGGACTGCATCGAATGTCTTCGCTATTCCTGTCAATCACTCCCGAGAATACACAAGGACAGACCCAGAATGAGTATCAGTGTCTCCCGAGCAATGACAGAGGCAATGCCAAGGGCAAGCTACTCGCACTGCACACCCCAAGGCCCGGTGGCAACTGTGTGGGAACTGCGCGAGGCCACCTCCTATGTGATCCTCTCCTTTCTGTGTCACTGCAACAGAAGCACCAACTGTCACGAGGGATGGAGGGGAGGGGATCATTTCTTCAGCTCCGCCACAAAGCTTTTCATCTTTTGGTTAAAAAATACAGCTCTTGGAACAAAGCTCAAACCATTATAATAATCGGAAAACAAACAGTGCCTACGATGTGCCAGGCACTACTCTAATGGGCATTAACGCTCGTCCTCAATGGCCCGGTGAGGTAGGTATTACGCTCCCTGCTGCACTGATGAAGAAACTGAAGCTCAAAGAGATGCAGTGGCTTGGTCAACGTGACTGTGGTCAACGTGACTGTCAGTAATCAGCAGTGGGGCAGAAATGCCAACTCAGATCTGGCCTCAGAATCCGTGTTTCTTAATCCTAATCGAATCCAGGAGAAATGTTAGGACAATCAGGAACGCAGGCCCAAGGATTCTAAGTGGTCTGGCTCCCTGCCCCCGACCTCAGGAGGACTCCTATTCAACCACATTTTTGTGAGATGCATTTTCCAGATGGGCCCTGCCCTCTCCCAACTGGTCCATTAATTTTAAGTTGCTAGTTCAGTGGGGTGAGAAGTGGAGGCAGAGGCCATACAAAACCTTGCCCATCAATCTTCAGAGTGGAAGAGCAGCTCTACCCCACAAAGAAAGAAGACGGCACGAAGAGGAGGAGAGCAAAGGCGGGCAGCAGCTGGCCCTGCTGTTGCTCTGGGCCCCTTGCCTGGTCCTGGTGCAGGCCGCCTGGCTGAGGGCCAGCAGGCTGGCACCGTCCAGATACCTCGCTGACCACATCTGAAGTCCTCTCAGGGCCTCCGGGAAGGGGGCCAGTCAGTCCGGCCACTTACTTGCAGCAAAGCAAACAGAAGCTGTATTTTTCACTCTTTTTCAAATGTCAGCACTCCAGTCAGCGGGGGGGTGGGGGGGGACAGGGAGAAGCCCACGTCCCGGACAGGCAGCAGCCCCAGAACTGACCCTATCCCCTAGCAAGCTCTTGCTTATTAAATTCTCCTCTTTGTTCTGCTTTTTACCCCTCCCAAACAGCCAGCCACACACACACACACACACACACACACACACACACACACACACCACTGTTGACTCTGCACTCCTGAAGTGCCCCTCCTCACCCCTTTCCAGATTATAAAACTGTTCTATTAAGATCAAATATTGTCAGGGATGGAGAGCTGCTCTGCCAAAAGATGACTCATCGCATCATATCAAAACACTGCACAAAATTAGAGTTCCAAACTTGATTAACTTCATCTGAACCTTTTAATTAACTCAGGTTGTTAAAGTCTGAGGGAATGACATTCATCGCTACAGATGATAGGCTAGTGTCTCTGCCCAAGTTCAGGACTTGCCCGTGTAATGGAAAAAGGCAAACTTCAAAAAGGAGAAACCAAGCACCTTTTCATTTGTTAGAAGAAAAAACTATGTACATGTGAATATACTACCATTTTGATAAAAAGAAATTAACATTCAAATTCAAATTTAAACTGAATCAGAGTATCAGATTTGTGTTGTAACAGAAATCTGGAAAGCAGTACTATTAATCACTGTATTTCTTTCTACAAATTTCTACTACATTTAAACAGAATTATATTTAGCATGATTAATAAGCCCCCCCAATAGCACATTTATAGGGGCGAAAATGAAGTTAATGTTCCAAATTAGCCCTAAATCAATTGCTGTCCCCCAAAATAGCTCAAGTGACGGGGTAGAAAACCAAATCTACACCACAACCTCCTATGCCTGACATCTAAAAGCTTCTCTGTACCTGACACCCCTGCTCCAATCTCTCTGGTGCTCTCCAGCCTCCCACAGACCCGTCCCCCCCAAGCTGCCTCACTCAGTGGAGACTCATTATCTCTGAGAATGGCCTGAAAATCGGCTGGACTCCTGGCTCACATATAAAAAAGAAAGGAAAGGGAGAGAAGAGAAAAAGGAAGGAAGGAAGGAAGGAAAAGGAAAGGAAGAAAGAAGAGAGAAAGGGAGAAATGGAGAAAGGAAGAAAGGGAGAGAGAGAGAAAAAGAAAAAAAGAAAAGTCATCCTCCTACCATACAGCCCTCCCCTTTTTTTTTAAAGATTGTGTTTATCTTCTTATTTACTGAGAAAGTGACAGAGCACGAGTGCTCGAGCAGATGGAGGGGCAGAGGGAGAGTCTTAAACAGACTCTGCACTGAGCAGGGCTCGATCTCACAACCCTGAGATCATGACCTGAGCCAAAATTAAGTCAGATCCTAAACACGACCAAGCCACCCAGGCACCCCCACTCCCCACAGCCTGTCTTTTAAGCCAAAACATGAGGTCTCAAGTTTGATCAACTGCTCTTCCCAATAAATACATACCAAGGATGGTAATAACTAGAACTATTGTGATGATTTCACAGTGCATACAAATACCAAATCATCATGTTGTAACCTGAAATACAGTGTTATAGATCAAGTACATCTTGATAACAACAAATACATAAGTAAATAATGAGCACCAATTGTGCCAGGCCCTGAGCTGCACAGGGGGAAAGCAAAACGCATCCTCTGCTCTCTCAGAGCATTCAGGGAAGG